AAGGGTTACACTTCAAACCCATGAAAAGGTGTCTGGTTGGAAGAAAAATCTGCCCAAAGCAGATGATTTATCTTCATTCTAAAATACAATAGTTGATACAGAAGTTGAAAGACTTTGGCAGTACTGATGAAGTAACCAGTTTCAGCCTCACAAATAAGTCAGAAACATGCTAACAGTTTCTTAGCAATTGAATAAACAACCACAAGTGTGACAGCATGTGTCAGCTTGTGTTCTAGTGGAAACAGAACAGCATAAAAACCGAAACCCCCAGCACGACAAAAGTTTTCCCGGACCAGTTTAATAGAGATCAGATTCCACTCGTCAGAAATGCATTTATGACTTTCACAATAATTAGTTAAATTACATTAAGAGCGTTTAAGCATCAATTACCTGTGCATCACATTCTTGTTCAACAGCTTTACCTGCAGCAGCTTCTTGCTGTGCAGCGATTTTCCACCGTGTAATTTCTTCTTCAGCGGCAGTGATGTCCATCATAAGCCCTTCAACCTACAATGAAGAAAGTTATTTGTAAGATAATAAGACAAAAAGGATTACATATGAATATGAGCTTACCAGAATTCTCCTACGCAAACCTCCACAAATGACATCAAACTCTATGAACCAAATACCAGTATTATGACATAATATATTGAGATTTGGCAGTGCATTACATTTTCATTTGCCACCCTCTCCTTCTCTTCAAGTTCCTCCACACGTTGCTTCCATTGGCTGAGTTCCTTCACTTGTGTTTCCACATGTTCCTTCAGTAAACTTGACTCTGCCCTTTGATTCAGTAAAGCAAAATGATAAAACAACATAGTCAGGATAAGGATAGGCTAAGTCATACTCGAGTGTTTCTAGAGGAGAAAAAGAAGACAAAGGGGCCATGCATCAGATCTGCTCGCTCAAGCCGAGTAGCATCACATAGTGATGAAATGCGGCTCAAAAAACAGTTAACCCAATATAAGCTTGAACAGGAGGTACCTTAGCTCTTCCACAGTATGTTTTAGGTCAATGATCTCAACCTGAGACTGCCTAATTATATTTTCTAATGCACCAGCCTACATCAAGAACATCAATTAGTTAATAAAATAACAAGAAACTTTAAACACGAATTAGTACCAAAAAAGACTTACCAAAGCATATACTTCATCCTCTTCTGTATTCGCTGCATCCTTTTTATTATCAGAAGCAGGGATCTTGCCATCGCCAACACGATTATTGAACTTGTAATTTATCCCAGCTTCTCTCAATCCATTTTCCGCTATCTTAAACAATTCATTTGTTTTGGATGATAAATCCACTGAAATTCTCTTTGAAAGAGCACTTCTCAGTAAAGACCCAATTTGTTCTTTTTCTTTTACTAATTGAGAAACTGACTCATTTAGTTTTTTCACTTCACGACTCCTCTCCTCTAACAAATCCCTCGTTTTATGGACAACGAATTCACTCATTTCATAAATAGATTCCAATCCCGCTAAAACCGCCCTTATATTCTCTTCCATGTCCATCTCTTGCGCAAGAAACAAGGATTCCGACAACTCAGATGCCTTCCTCGCATCAACAACCTTAACAGCATTATAAATCTGTTCGTGTATATTCCCAACATATTTCAGTTGCTCAGCAAGTAATGGTCTTTGCATTTCCAGCTTTGTTTCTGAACTGCTTAACCTACCCTCGTATTCACTCACCAAATCCCTCAATCCAACCACTTCACTCTCCAATGCATTTTGCTTCTCACACATCACTCCTTCCAACTCCGATAGTTTCTCATCCTTTTCACTTACAGATTTCTCTAAACTGTCGACAACTGAAGCTTTCTTCGCAACCTCCTCTCTCAAACCACTAATCTTCGCCTCTAACTCTGAAACTTCAATAGCAATTTCATAATTCCTGTGTTCCATTTGTTCCCGTGCCTCGTTCCATGACTTTGTTGTTGATTCAATCTGTCTTAAAAGCTCCTCTACAATCTCATTCATCCGTTTGATCACACCATACGAGACAGCTGGCAATCCTGTGTATTTCGGTGACCTAGGTAATCCACCAGCTACAAAATTCTTAAATTGACTAACTTTTCCAGATATTTTATCAATTCCACTAACTAACATTGAACCAGAAGTTTCCATCTCAGTTCTCATTGATTCTTTCGCTTTTTTCACTTCCTCTAACTGCTTAGCAAAATCATCTTTCTGCTTAATCGCTTCTTTTAGTTCATCCGTTACCTTCTCGACTGTTCTAGAAACTTCTTCCTTTTCCCGTAATGCTTCATCGCGTTGTCTCGAGTGCTCATCGCGCTTTTTGATTGCTTCATGAGCGAGAACTCTCAATCTGTTAAACGAAACTTGCAATTCCGATTTCGAATTCTCTGCGGCTAATCGAGATTGCCGCTCTCGATCCAGCTCCGCAAGAATCTCATGGAATTTCTCAATTGAGACATCTTCCGGTGGCGGAGAATTTATATCAATAGGTAGCGGATCATCCGCCTCCACGTCGCTCAGTACAGCGTCGTTGTCTTCCTCACCGGCGCTCGCCATGAATAAATTGCAAAATTTTACAATCTAAAACTTTGACATGACTAGTTACTTACGAATTCTTGCATCAATTCGATAATTCAAAATCCTCAAACCCTAAAATTAAGATAAAGCTGAAGTCAACTAAGTGTAAAACAAAAGGAAACCGATCTCGAAGATATGGTGATCGCCGGAGATTACGTCGAAAGGAGTGGATTTTGTATATTGTAAGGATAATCGGGGATTGATGATCGGCGAGATTTCAGTTCGGAGAAATTAAGTGCAGTAAATGAAGAGAATGAAACCTTGGGGGTTCCGTTCAATTATGCCACCACCTAGTCTCTCGTTCTTGTTGGTTTTTATCTTGTTTTTACTTTCTTTTTTTTTTTTTTGTTTCCCGAAAACCGGAAGGAAAAAATGTGACTCGTGCACTTGTTGTCTTTTGGCTTTTACGGTCGGAAAAGGAAAAACATGTGAGGAGGAAGCTTCCTTTTTTTTTTTTTGGTAATAAAAAAAAGTTAAATATATTGTTGTCTTGGTTGTGTAATTACTAAGAGTAGTAATTAATCGCTCTGATAATTATATACTAGTATAGTAATTATCTTTGTTATTTGCCATAACGTAATTGTAATGTAATTCTCACTGTCACGTTTGATTGGACAAGTATAATTATATAATTAAATATATTTTTTCCAGATAAACCTATTGAAATATATTAAAATTTGGGGGAGTTATATTTAAATACAACTCTCACACATACATTGCAATTAAGTGATCTATATTTAACTTTGCAAGCCCAAAAATAATAGGCTAAGATTCAACATTCAATTCCAAATAGGTTCTCGAAATTATTATTTAATTTTTTTTTAAAATGCTCAAGCTTTTAATCTAATTTTTGAATCTGTAATTGTCACTCAAATATTAGTTCAACAAACTAAATATATTTGGGTGGTAAAAAATTAAATTTTTAAGATAATCCACCATTGTTGAACACACTTTAATAAGTAGGTTTAAATTTCGAATATGATTTTATTAGAAATTTGGAGTGGATGTTGTTTAGACTTGTTAGAAATAGTATAAAGAGGTTGTATACAAAATTTGAAGTCATTTAGTAAAGATTAACCATTGTTGAACAAGCTTAAATAAGTTTATTTAAATTTCGAATCAGGTTTTGTGAGAAAATTGGAGTGGGTATTCTTTAGACTTGTTAGAAATAGTATAAGGAGGTTGTATACAAAATTTGAAGTCATTTAATGGAGATCTGGAATGGTTTGAACAAAAATTGCAATTGAAAATCGTGGAAGTTTGTATACAAAAGTTTGTATAAATCTATATTATATTAAAATCACGAAGGCCCTTAGCGAAATGTCGTTCGCCTTTTTTTACCCTTTAAGACATAGAGTTCCCATATGACAATATAGTGATTTAAGTATTTCATAAATATTTAAAAATATCACTTAATTAATTTAGTTTTCTGATTTTTTGGTAAATTTTTCTTCAATTATTTGTTATTAAACTTTGCCTTAATTAATTGGTTAAATTTTGTCACGTTTCTTACCGAAGGAAAGTTAACAAAAAAAATTTCCTAAACTTTTACTCTCATTAAATTTTGTCCCGTTTCTAACCCAAGGAAACTTAACAAAAAAAATTTCCTTCGTCCGTTGCACACAAGGAAAGTGTAAAAAAATTTCCTTCGTCCGTTGCACACAAGGAAAGTGTTTAGAATTTGACTTCGTCCAGGGAAATATTTTGGTAGAAGTTTTTATTATTTGATAAATTTTTCTTGTCTCTTTAACTTACACACAAATTTACTTTATATAATTTCTTTTATGTGTCAAATTGTGTACCATAATACTTCTATAAAAGAAGCTACAATGTCACAATTTAATCATCAAAGTTCACCCTATTCCAACATCGCGATTTCAGGTGTTGTTTTTTTTTACTAATATCAACATCTTTTGCTACTTTGTATTTTCCAAGCACATTTGCATGCACCAGTTTTTAATGTTGTATCACTAATTTATTTTTATTGTTGCATCAATAATTTTTTATTATATAGTTTTTGTTTCATGTTTTTGACTTGGCTAATTTTACATCTCACATAATTTATAAATTTTGTTACAGGTTATTGAAGAATTGCAATTCATCACAGAAAATCGGTTAGACATTCGATCTAAGTCTTATCATTTAAATATTAGTATTATTTATTTCCTTTGTTGTATAATTAATAATACTTATAATTGTTATGCCAGCTCAAGTTGCTTGTTTTAAAAAGAATTAAAAATTATACTATCTGCTTTAATTTGTGTTATATTAATACTACATGATTTGCGTTATTGCAATTTCCATGCTTGAATCACTCAGATTTCAACAATTACATCTGTTCAGGTAAACAATCTTCCTTATATTATAAAAATAATCAATTATTGAATTAGTCACTTTGATAACTTATAAAACTCTTAAGCATGCTTTATTTTAGGTACACTTGCAATGGCCAGTGAAAAGGAATTGTTAGACCAATGTGTCCCAATTAATAGTCTAAGAGTATCCGATTCAAGTTGGGTAATACGAGTGTTAGTGTTTGGGAGTGGAATAGTAAAAGAATTCAACAATAAAACAAATCAAGGCACCCGAAAAATTGTGACATTAGTTGACGAAGAGGTAATTGTTATTTTATATCAATATTTTATTTCATGTCTTTTCATATTATAGTTTTAACCATCAGATTAACTTACAGTGAAATTTTTTACAGGGAACAAAAATTCACGCTACACTTTTCAATGGTTATATTGAGTTGTGGAAAAATTATTTACAACAAAACAAGATCTATTATATCATAAACGGACGCATCAATAGTGCAAATCCGAATTTTCAATCAGTGCACAACGAGCTTGAGATTGGATTTAAGGAAAATACGTTAGTTGAAGAAAGCAATAGTCACTTTTCGACCATTGGTTTTTCAAATAATTTTATTTCATTCGATGAGGCATCAAAGTGCACCAATGGAACAATTTTTGGTAAGTTGTTTAGATTTCATCTCATAATCTTTCACTAAATATACAAATAATATTTTATTTCTATTCTGCTTATTAATTTTTGGGTAATATACATATAATTATTTTGATATTCTTTTTAGATATAGTTGGAATTTTAGTGGATATTAAACCCTCCATGGGAGAAGGTTCAAAGAAACGAAGGGAGATAGTGCTTATCAACGAGATGTAAGTTGGTAGTTTTAGTTCAATATGTTAAATGTTTCTTCGTAATTAAGATGAATGTCTAATATATTTAATTGTAAATTTCAGGGTTGATAGAAAGACTGTAACCTTATGGAATGATTTCTCAGAGATAGACGGTCAAGTACTACAAAAATTGATTGATGAAAAACCTGTCGTTGCGGCATGTGATGTTAGGAAAACATCATATAGAGGTAATATATCAAGAACTTTGGTATTTTTTGTAAATTGTAGAATTTTTTATTATATTTAACCTTTTTTTATTTGTGAAGGAAATTTTTCAATATCTACTACATACGTTAGTAGTATAATGATAAATCCAAAGTTTGAAAAGGCGGTAGCTCTCCAAAAATGGTAATATTTGCTTAGTTTTTCTTTTAAGTTTAAGCAATCTTAGTAAAATATAGTTATTATTATTTACTAATTACACAATATGCAGGCATGACTATAAAAAGGCAAAAAACATAGATATTAGTTTATTGCCAAGTATACAACTGAAAAATGCTCGAGAAGTAAAGATTGAGGACATCAAAGATGATTCGTTCGACAATAAAGAGGTAAATTATTCCAACTACTTAATATTTATACTTTTTAAAAATGACCTATCTAACCTATTTTGTTATATTTATTTGCAGGATACATATTTTAAATTTAATGCAAGAATAAAAGATATAATGAACAAAGACGAACCATGGTATTCTTCTTGCAAGAAATGTTACAAGAAAGTGGACGTTATAAATAATATTGCAAAATGTCATCATTGTGGCGTCGAGAATGTTGATTACCAGGAAAGGTAAAACACATAAAAAAAAATTCAATTCTTTCTCTACATTTTCACATATCAATAAATGAGCTAATTGTTTGATTATTTATGAATTTGTAGGTATATTCTAAAGCTTGAGGTGTTTGATAAGAAAGAACGTTGTTATGTTACACTGTTTGAATCTACAAGATACTTGCTTGGTTGTGATGTTACAACGTATATACAATCAATATCTCAAAAGGTCAGATTATCTCTTGATTACACCATTATAAAATATACAAATTAGTGACATTTATGTGGTTTGAATACCTTATCCAATCTTAACTAATTTACTCTTTTTTTGTACAGAAAGAAGAATTCAAATTTTATCGCAAATTGGTGTTGAGTCGGGAAAAAGAGTTCACCTTTCTTGTCAAAATTGATTCCAAAAATGGTGGCGATCGAGATGGAAGACGATTTATTGCGGAGGAGATCCAGGAAGTTGAAAAATTGCTGCAATTGAAATAGATGAAGAGATACAAACGGAAACAGGAATCAAGAAGACCAAAAAAGTCGAAGAAGACATCAACAACCCAATAATTTGCAAAAAAGTCAAAATTGAAAAGGATTAGTGTTGTTGCATTCTCTAAGAAATATAAGCTCTTTTTTCCCCGTATTCTATATAGTTATTGATTGTTGAAGTTTCTATTTTCTTTTAAATAATAAGGAACAACTTTTGCTGGCATATATATAATATTTAAATATCAATTTTACTCGGTGTATTCTTTGTACTATGTGTGTTTTAGCTGAATTAGAATACGATATTAACTACTAATTGTATTCCACAGGCTATTCTTCATTAACCACATATGGCAAAACAAGGTACATATAAACATAATTAACAAATTATGTTCTTTATAATTTTGTTAATTGCGGCATTAATTTTTTTAAAAAATATTTCTTTCTATATGTATAGATCAAGGCAATGTTTCTTATGCGATTCGGAGATTTAGCAAATATAATGCTTTACATGCGTCAAAGTCAAATTATGGAAACAACAATATATATGAAGAACAAAATTCAGGTAAAATTACTATTAGCCTGTAGCTGTTTCCTTGGCAAAATTCACTTCAAGCTGCATATTTTAACTTATTACATCAGATCAATACATAATCACTTTTATTCATGCATGTGTATTAATTGTTTTTAAATAATTTTTGCTCCACTAAAATATTATAGGCTAAAAATGTTTATTTACTGCAACTTCCAAATGAAATTCTAATTCATTATAGCATAAATCAATTTAATTGTTGGGACCATTATCCATCTAAAATCCTACTATAAATTCGTTACCCTTTACTTAGTTATACTATATTAAAAGCACGAAGGCCCTTAGCGAAATGTCGTTCATCTTTTTTACCCTTTTAAAATAAAGTTCACACTAGACAAAATAGTCATTTAATTATTTTTCTAATATTTAGTATTTTAAAGTCAACTAAAACTTTACTTATTAAAGTTTTCCTTATTTGAACGACTACACAAAAAAATCTAAGTATATATCAAAATTAGTTACATTTACCATATACAATATTATAATACTAAAAATATGAATGTTTCCGTATTATATTTTCTAAGAGGATGTGCATATAATTAATGGAAGGAAACAGCCAAACTTATAATAGAATAGCCCGATCATAATTTGAAAAGAAAGAATTACAAGAAAACATATATGACTTCACACCATAACAAAAAATGGTCCATGTTTGATATTTGTCGGTGATTGATATATTGTGCATTAAATGTTTTGTTTTACCATCTGAAGTTAAAACTAGCCATTTCTTGTGGATGCTTTTCCATGCTGACATATATAGTATAACCATTGACCATAGAAGAATGTCAAAGATGCTTGAGAAGTTTGCCTTTGAAAAACATAACGTATCAGCATGTGGAGTCCATCTTAATAGTATGGTCATTGACCATTTTAAGTTTTTCATGCTCAAATGGAACAAGTCCTCATGCACCTTGTCTCTTCATATAACCTATTCTGCAGGTGTCCATGTAGGATACCAATTATTCAGACAGATAAGCCATTTAAGCTTGGACCGTTGACTACGGTAGCATCGGTCATAGAAGCACGGAGGTTAAAATCACCGGCGTTGAATGCTATAGTTGCGGCGCCGGTAGCGGCGGCTTTGTCACTCTCATATTTAGCTTTCACTGATGCCTTCGTCATTTTTGCCATAATTTTTTTTAAGGACCTTGTCTTTTTTTTTTTCTTCTTCTATTTATGAACATTTGTATGTCGTCAATTTTTTGAAATATAATTAATAGAATTTACTTTGGATCTAAAATATGCTTCTTATTTTTGGGAAATCTTGACTCAATCAATGGAAGATATTAATATTGAAGAAAGAAGACCAAGGAAGCAACGCATGATAAATTGGTTTTTGAAGGCTCTATCAAAAGAGTGTGAAATTGAAGGTAATATGCAGTACTAAATTATCCAGCAAAATTACTTATATTTTATTTGTGTTCGAGTTATTACCTTCTAACATTTGGCTACATAAATCATAACATTTGGCTACATAAATATAGGTGAAATTGTCTCTAAACCATCTACATCTTGTACTCAAAAGTTGGAAAATATTTCCGATTGTATTCATTGTCACGCTATGAGGTTTCAGCATGAAACTCCAACATTTTGTTGCGGGGAGGGATCAGTAAGATTGGCAAATACTGAAGTTCCAATATAATTATACGAGTTACTTGTTGACGAGTTAGACAAAGCAAAAAAGTTTCGTCGAAACATTAGAGCATATAATAGTATATTTGCATTTACGTCTTTTGGTGTTAGACTTGACAAAGAACTTGCATCTTCAAGGAAAGGAGTTTACACCTTTAAGGCACAAGGTCAAATTTATCACAATATTCCGTCATTGCTTCCACGTGAGGATAATCCATGTTATTTTCAATTATATTTTTTGACACGGACAATGAATCATGCAGTCGGATTTCAAAATTGCAAGAAGCCAACTTATCTGAGGAAGTTGTGACAAAAATTAGGCAGCTAATGGATGAGAATCCAATATTTACAAATTCGAATTGCTGCCAATGCTACACTGGATCAACGTGTCTACAACAAACCATCGATAGATCAAATTGCTGCAATTTGGGTAGATGGAAACAATCCAAATGTACCATTCGATAGAGAGATTATTGTTCATGAGCATTCCGGCAACAAACATAGAGTCAAACATTATTATGGTTGCTATGACCCACTCCAATATCCTCTGCTTTTTCCAAATGGAGAGGTTGGCTGGCACCAAGGAATACACAAATATAAATCAAAAAGAGGTGCAAGTACATCTGAAGTTGCCAATGTAAACCAGAATGTCCCAACATACACGTCCGCTAATGAGGTGTTTCACAAAGAGGAGCAAGGTAAAGTATTGCAATTAAATTACGTATCACTTTAGTTTTCTTATTTGAATATTAACTACACTAATAGATACGACTTATTTTTGTAGGGGTACGTCATGAATCTAAATCATGTGTGTCTTGTAGAGAGTATTATTGCTACAAATTTCAAATACGCAAAGGAGAAAAGACAATACTACTATTGTGCGGACGGTTATTGCAGCAATTTGTGGTTGACATGTACATCAAGTTAGAAACAATAAGACTTGAATTCTTTAGATTACAGCAAGCATTACTTAGAAGGGAAATATTACAAGGTATAGTTGATAGTATCATGGCTGGAGAATATAGAGGAGATAAAGTTGGTCAAAGAGTAATATTGCCGGCATCATTCATCGGAGGCCCTAGAGATATGCGCCGTAGGTATATGGATGCAATGGCTTTGGTTCAACGTTTTGGAAAACCAGATTTATTTATCACAATGACATGTAATCCCGATTGGGTGGAGATCCAGGAAAATCTATGTGAAGGACAACTTGCACAAGATAGACCAGACTTAGTGACTAGAGTTTTTAGGGCAAAATTACAAGATTTAAAGGATCAGATTTTTAAGAAAAAAATATTTGGTCCTGTTGCGGCACATGTCTTCGTGGTTGAATTTCAAAAAAGAGGCCTACCACACATACACCTTTTGATAATACTTGAACAAGGGTACAAGATAACATTAGCAGACCAATATGACAAGTTTATTTCTGCGGAACTTCCTGATGAAGAAGAATATCCACTCTTGCATGACTTAGTTGTCAAGCATATGATGCATGGTCCATGTGGAAAACATCGTCCAACAAATTCATGCATGAAGGATGGTCAGTGCAAGAATCACTATCCTAGGCCATTTAGTAATAAATCAATACAAGGAAAGGATGGATACCCTATTTATAAGAGAAGAAATGATGGAAAGATCGTAAATGTCCGTGGCATGAGAATGAATAATCAGTGGGTTGTGCCATATAATCCTTAGTTACTAACTAGATACAATTGTCATATTAATGTGGAGTCTTGCTCTAGAGTGAAAGCAATCAAGTATCTCTATAAGTATATATATAAAGGGCATGATAGGTGTGTTGTTTATATTGAACCAGATGATGGAGAAAAAGTAGTTGATGAAATCCAAAATTTTCAAGACGCACGTTGGGTATCTCCGCCAGAAGCACTATGGAGAATTTATGAATTCAATCTCAGTGAAATGCAACCTCCTGTCATTAACCTTCAACTACATCTCCCGGATAGACAAACAGGTAAATATTTATCTCCAACAAGGTTAATTAAAACTTTTGATGAAATAAATAACTATACAAGTTTTTGTGAAATGTCAACACACAGTGTGCTATTGGAGCAAGCAAAATTTGCAAAATGTGATTGCGTGGGAATATGCGACGCTAACCATGCTCACGGAGTATTTTCGGACATGCTCGAGGGATACTGAAGCACGACAATACCTATACAAAGAATTTCCAGAGTATTATGTGTGGAACTCACAGGGAAAGATATGGACAAAAAGAAAAACAAGATCAGTTATTGGTCGAATTGCTACTGGTAAGATGATCTATCTATTCTCTTTCAGATAAATCTTGATGAAATTAATAATTTGAAACAATATTAGTCTTGTAAGATTGGGCACTTTGTGTTTGATAAATTAAAACAATTAAGGCATCAACCAAATAATACACAGTCTAGGATCTGATATACAGGCTATCAAAAAACAGAAGTCAGGGGTAGAAAGTTCACAACATAAATGTGAGTTTCAGAATGTAGCCAATCCTAAACCCAAATAAAAGAGGAGGGTAATGACAGGCTGACGCCAACGCAAAAATAGTCAAAAGTATAACGAAGCTGTGATTTATAGTCCAGAAACAAATGCGAGTCCTTTGGAACTATTTATGCAAAATAGAATAGGGCTATTACTTAAAGTTCTAATCAATAAGAACAAGAATCAGTAATTCTAGATAGTTTTTTCCGGGGGTCCTATTCCTTTTACTGCAATATGGCTATATAGCAGTCTATAAGAGTTCATCATTATTTCTTAGAGCTGAATCCATTAGTTTCGTTACATGATTGATTGAAATAAAATAGGACACAATGACTTCAGCTAATGCCTAATCTATTTTTGGCATATGGCCGATTTGAAGTTAACGTGATGAAGATACTAAATGGAAAATATTTTTTGTGCTGCATACAAAAATATCTACAAATGTGTATAATGCAAAATTATCAAAAACTATTTGCACTTGTCACAACAAAGTTAGAAGCTGGTGTTATATGTTTCTTGATAAACATATTTCAATTCTTATCAGCTAAGAATATTCTAAGGCTTCAACAAGAATTCAGAATCCAACATGTTTAAATAACGACACTTCTTTTAAGTAAAGAAGGAATATATTTTGGCATCATTCATTGACTTGGCTACATTATACTGACAGTCTGCACCCTATTGTATTTTATCTGGATAAATGACAATGATTAGTCTTAACAGTTAATATAGAATTTTACTCAATGTTACAGCTAATCCTAGAGAAGGCGAAAGGTATTATTTGAGATTATTGTTGAATCACGTCAGAGGACCCTTATCATTTAAAGACTTGCTAACTGTTAATGGAAGAGAGTGTGAAACATTCAAAGAAGCTGCAAAGGAAAGAGGTTTATTAGAATCAACAACAGTATTTCAGAATGCTTACGTGAAGCGGTCCTCTTCAAAATGCCATCGGCACTGAGAAATTTATTTGCAACAATTTTGGTTCATTGTAATCCAACGGACATTAGGAAGCTCTGG